TTATAAAAATCGGACAGCCATATCATATAGCTGCCATAGAAACTATCGGTAGATGTTTGGGAATGCAAAACTGTAACTTTCAAACTGTAAACATAATAAGTATAGGTAAAATGTAATGAAATAATATTTGCAAGGGTATACAAACTTCGGCGTGCCGAAGTTAGCTTCCTTTCTTGTTTTTATTTATTTATTTTTTTTTGTTAACCATTAACATTGGGCTAGTGAAAGGAGAACAACTAGGTCTTATTAATTTTGCTTCGAACATTTGCTGAATTTTCTCCCTTACTATTTGCTTCTCGTTCTCACTAAAGCGATACATTGTCTCTGAACCGATTTATTTATTTACAGTTTGAGTTCTATAAATATCGAATTTGCTACTTTCTAAAATAACTCCAAAACCACGTTGAAAAATATCTTGTCCAATTATCATGTCATATTTAAGGCAATTTTCATCAACTACGTGAAACAACAATTCAAATTTAAATCCTGAAATTTGTACGGTGGACAGAATTTGCTTATTGCTTTTGACAACATTGTCACCTATGCCTCTCAACACTACCAGATTATGGCATCTCTTTCCGGCAAGGTTCTCGCTGATGCTTTCTTTCACCAACGAGCATTCGGAACCCGAATCGAAGAAAAATGGAAACCGCTCACCAGATTGTATTGCAGTTTCCTTAGGCTGAAGTACCGCACACATGTCCACTCTCTTCTCGATGTTTATATTCGCTGTTGCTGTCCCCTTAGTACACACTGATGCAATGTGACCAATGTTGCCACACCTATAACATGTCACGGCTTGTCTGCTGTTGCTAAGGGCTGTTCTCGTCTCGTTTCTTTCCTCTGCTTTGCTCTTGCGGCACTCCATTGCTTTGTGTCCAAGTTTTCCACAACTATGGCATTTTATCGGCGTTTGCGTCTTGAACCTCTTCTTTTCCGGGCCTTGCTCCATTCCAGAGTATTCAGATTTTTTTGCGAACGTATGAGCTTTCAGTTGTTGTTGTAGCTCCGCACGTGTTTTTAGATTTGTTGTAAACACTAATCTCTGCAGTCTGGAATCAATTTGGGATGTATGAGCTAGGACCAACGATACAGCAATTTCTTCGTGCGTCATTCCTTTCCACTTGGTCAAGAGTGATGTAACCAACCGGCTGGAGTACACGGAGAGGCATTCTTCAGGACTTGGGCGTCCCTTCAGCATGTCTAGCAACAATGCTGCAGGCGTCTCTTTGCCTTCGTAGCGTTCCATGAACAATTCCTTGAATTGTGTCCAGCTCATCCCAGGGTAGCAAATTTGCGACAGCCACTGCGATGCGCTACCGTGAAGTGACTTGCTGAGCGTCATTACCAAGGATGCACCTTCTTGCGGATGTTCAGATAAAATCATGTTTGCCGTTTTGCACCATGCTGCTGCGTCTGCGTCGGCAGCTTCAGGGTCGAAAGATGGTAGTACTGCAGAAACGGCACGTGTGCCAGGCGTCGACGTGGACTGTGCAGCTTTCAAAAGTTCTGCAATCACTTTGCTTTGCGCTTCCAGAAGTGTGCGCCAGCCATTATCCGGGTTGTCTTGTAGGGGTGGTGATCCCACTTCTGATGTCGGGGATGGGGGGTCAATGTTGTCGGCCATTGTCGTTTCCTTAAATTTTGTACCAAGCGCAGTGAGTCGCAATGACTGAGTAGTCCGTCCGCTTTCCCTGACAGTCTCGCTGGAACTGACTTTCACTTTTCCCTTTCTCTACTTTCCTCGTCCTTCTCTACTCGTCATTGCGCAACACTCGGTAGGGAATACTCTCTTCATCCCCACCACGCTCTTTCTTAATAAGTTCTCTTCCTATTCTCTCGTTGTTACTTATTTTACTCTTCATTTATTTCCATATTCGATACACTTGGAAGCTTACAAATAGTAATTACATCTAACATTTCAGTGTAATCTCCGACATATATTATATAAAAATATGTCGGGTTTTCCATAGGGATCCTACTACTCCAGAACGCACGAACAGATTTCCACGGTTTTGCATTCGTTGGAAAGGTCTCGAAATTCTTGATTTTAGCAGTAAAGAAAATGCAGAAAAAATTACAACAGAAAAGCGGGAAAGTCATTTTTGCGCCATCACTGATACATAGCATGCCATAATTCTCTACTCAGTTTATTTTATGAGACAAACCGAAATTGTTTTCAATTTTGTTTTGCGTTTCCAAATATTTCAATTGGAAGCCAGCATTTGTCTTTAAGGTGGTAAGTTGAACTGTGTAAATTATGTGGACTTGTGGTTAAATTAACCATTCTGCCTATAGTACTTGATCAAGACCAATCTAGAATTCCCCGGATAGTGATACATAGCATGCCCATATTCTCTACTCAGTTTATTTTATGAGACAAACCGAAATTGTGTTCAATTTTGTGAAATTGTGAAGAAAAAGTAAAAAAATAAGTTATTAATTTCCTAACATTGCAATTGGAATCCAGCTTTTGTCTTTAAGGTGGTAAGTTGAACTGTGTAAATATGTGGACATGAGGTTAAATTAAACGTTCTGCCCATAGTCCTTAATCAAGACCAGAATTCCCCGGATGGAATTGGAAGACGTAGGAAGCGCATTAGTCAAATCGGGCCTAGGAAGAGTAATTCCGACTGTCCTTTTTTTCTCTTTCTTTGCTTCGAATTCCTTGACAATCACATGCTTTGGTCAGATTTGGACAGAGCATAGTTTGTCAAAGAATTCCTCAGGAACATATATTTTGAAAGATGAAACTGTCTCGTTGGTGGTATTGCCATAAGGGGTTTTTTCAAGGCAGGCTGATTATCCGCCTTACCAATTTTGGCCGGTAGTCCGGGCCTGACACCCTGGTAGGGATCTGGGGCTCTGAGAAGACAACTGTTGGGACCCCTCTCCCGAGACACATTCGGATACGGAATCTTTTCTAGCATTCGATCTCCGGATTCTTTAAATTTGTCCTGAGGTCGAGGGAGGCTGCTGTTGAGAGCCTGCCACGCTGGTTGGAATCCGCCTAGATGCTGCATACCAGTTGATCTTCGTGTGCTCACGTGCTTCACTTACTACATTTCGTCTTTCCTGGCTTAAGTTCTGTGAATAAACTTGTTGCTGGCTTGCATGCCTTGTGCGTAGGCCGATGTTCAAACGTCGTGCTCTAGGCATTTTGGAATATAGGCAGAGCGGTTAATTTAACCTCAAGTCCACATAATTTACACAGTTTAACTTACCACCTTAAAGACAAAAGCTGGATTCTAATTGTAATGTTAGGAAATGAATAACTTATTTTTCTACTTTTTCCTCACCATTTCACAAAATTGAACACAATTTCGGTTTGTCTCATAAAATAAACTGAGTAGAGAATATGGGTATGCTATGAATCAGTGATGGCGCTTTATGCAAAAATTACTTTCCCGCTTTTCTGTTGCAATTTTTCTTGAATTTTCTTTACTGCAAAAATCACGAATTCCGAGACCTTTCCAACGAATGCCAAACCGTTGAAATTAGTTCGTGCGTTCTGGAGTAGTAGGATCCCGACTTATTTTTATATAATAGATAGCGAAGAAACATTTTTGTTTAATAAAAGTTTTTAAGATTCAAAACATTTTTAAATAATGTAATAAATAAAATAATATAAAATATTATTAATAACAAAAAAACACGATACTATAAAACCGTCATTGTCAGGTATCGATCCACTTATCTAAATTGCCGACCAACGCGTAAACCGGCACGACCATAGGACCGATTTAAAGTGTAATGCACAAAAACCAATATGAATTTGAAAGCCTTTTGATTATCGCCCTAGCAAAGCCAAAATGAAATTTCGTCTCAAAATGTGTTGCCGCGTTCACGCACACATACACACAAAACTCACTTACACCTATGCATTGTGTGCGTAATAAAAGAAATCTAAAAATAGAACAAGCAAATTATTCCCGCAAAGCATGCCAGATGCCCTCCCTATACATATTGTTCTATACTCTTTGTTACCACGAAAATTATTTTACTAATATTTGTAGTTTATTTATTTTTTTTTAATTGCGAATCAGGATTTGTATATTATTAAACTTGTTTGTTTAACTTAAACTGTTTATTTACGATGAGAGGTAAATAAAAAAAAATATATATAAAATTTTGTAATAATATATCAAATTTTGTAACAATGGTAACAAAATAAAAAAATATATATATTAAAAATAGTTTATATAGTTTCATTTTGCGCACTAGTGTGCAAAATATTTAAGCATTACAAAATTATGCCGCCACCATATAACTTATTAACCACTTAACTATTTGGATACTTCTCGTTCGAAGTCAGAGCAAAACAATTGATGAGTACACTTAAGTTAACTCGCTAACATAGTTAGAGACTCGGCTAACACCACCTGAGTATAGTCTGAGTGCGGTGAGAGCGGGATGCAAATAAAAGAATTTTAATATTTGCAAATCATCGGACTTTACACTAAATTTGACAGAACCTCCATACTAATATTTACATTTTTTATACCCTTGCAGGTTATGTTTTTCATTTTTGCAGAATTAAGAATGTAAAAGTGTTATAAGTTTTTCATTATGTGCGAGGGCGGTGGTTGGCGTGGCCAAACATTAAAACAAAGCTTGATTTACTTGAAACAGATTGAAATGTTATAAAATTTGGTAGCGCTAGCTATTATAGTCTGGGATCTGTTTTTCTTACGAACAGGCGGACATGGATAAATCCACTCGTCGGGTGATGCCATTCATGAATATATGTATACCTGAGTGGTCATAATTATACTACCGTGAATAATGAAACGAAACTATTATTACTGTTTTATTTCATAATGTCGAGTTGGATGAGAGGTATAATATTCCTGACTGGTACTCAGCCAACTTTAAGGATGCAGCCCCATTATCAAATTAAATCAAATTATTAACGCTCCAAATGAAACTAATTGGAGGAATATGCAAATTTAAGGCTTAAATCCATACACTTTTTTTCACTGGGGGTGGCAAGACAGAAAGTTGCAGGTATAGTGCAAGGCGCAGACGCAATCTACTGTTTACAAGGAGGTATATAAATAGGCGACAGCACGTTTGTGGCATCGCAGTTAAAAACAGAGACCACAGGAAAGAAGTAACACCCAAACACCGATTTCCAATAATGATGGCCGGATACGCAGCTGTGTAAGGCGATCTAACAATATTTATTTGATTGGTACTGTACCCTGGCACTCCTTTCATATTTGCAGCACTTTATCTTACCTATTCGCTGGTGTACTAATCATGTTCGGCGTTTCAGGTTCGAAGTTGGTGGAGCTCGAACCTATTAACAGCGGACCAACTGTGGCTCCGTTAGGTTGCCATCGTCGCTTGTATACGTACAAAGTGACGCAAACCGATATTCAAGGGAACGAGTGCTGGGACTATGTCAGTGTTTGGTCGTGCTGGGGACGATGTGACTCTAGCGAGATTTCAGACTGGAAGTTCCCATACAAGCGCTCGTTTCATCCGGTCTGTGTTCATGCTAAGCGGCAGCCGGCTGTGGCTATCCTTAAGAACTGTCATTCCGAAGCAGACGAGAGCATCAGCAAGTACCACTACATGGAGGCGGTGAACTGCCATTGCCAGACGTGTTCCACACAGGACACCAGCTGTGAGGCACCGGCAAATACCGTGATGGATGGTGGCAGCAAAGCCATCATCATAGGTGCGCACTCAGAGGACTTGGACTATTAGACACATATACTATTTGATGTGAGCACTGGGTGGCGCTTTGTGTTTTCTTACTCAGTTAAAATAAATATATTTTAATTTAATTTTACAGCTTATGCGACGTAATGAACATTTACCACTAAAATAAAACATTAGCAACTATAATCGCTTTTGTTTTCATTTCATTTTAATTAAGAGTTCGTATATCGAAAAAATACTATTGATTTTAAAGTATTGATGGTATGCTTTTGAAATGTTGATACTAATGTTTGATTTTGAAAAATACCGAAATATATATATAATCACCTTTTCCAACCTTTAATGTTTGTATTAAAAAAACCGTAAAAGTTATTTTTTTAATATGGATGAACAGAAAATTATTTATGAAAAAAAAATTAATTTTACGGTTATTTTTAATACAAACCTTAAAGTTAGAAAAAGATGATTACATAGTGCACCTGAAAATGTTGAAAATAATTCATCCAAATCCTAATTCAGAATATTCGTTTTTCACATTTTCTACAGTTCTTTAAAATGTCTGTGCCGAAGTCAAAAAGTGTATGTTTAAATAAATGTTATAGCCACAGTGAGAGTTCCATTCCGAAAACTTCCCAATTTCTTTTCGTTTACTGTGTTCCCGCCAGCATTTATTTACATTTACATGCATACTACAAATACAATCCACTCCACTCATCTACAATCGCTGCCATCAAAATTACTCCACAAAGCTTTCATAAATATATCCACATATTTCAAACAAAAATTAAAAAAAGAACTACAATATACTACAAATACAGTCCACTTCATTCCGAATAACATATTTACAACAAATATATAAATTAAGATGAGATTAACTGAACTTTTTTATTTTAATGGTAAATTATTTCTATTATATTTATTCTGATTTTGCAAGTTTTCCGTCTTTTCTGCTTGCTTCTTTTTCAGATTTTGTTTCGTTCTTTTTTCCTTCGTCTCCTGCTAATTAACCTTTTTTCACTCCCCTACTGCTTTTCTCCCTGTCCCTTGTCATTCTCGTCTCTGCTGTTAGCCTCCTAAGTTCCACTACCCTTTTTCCCAGCCAACTTCTTCCAGCTACAAACTGTGTCCGGCGTATAGCCACTAAGTCTCCAAGTTTATAATTGACTCCCTGTTTTAGCTTTCGGTCAAAGTTCTTTTTATACGATTCTTGTGCTCGTTGAATCTATATCTTTGCATCTGTTCTCTGACGCTGCCGTTGCTCGTCAAAATTTAAGTACATCTTCTCCTCCAGAAGCTGAAGCATACGATCCGTTGGCTTATTGTTCATCTTAATTTACCATTTCCACGGGTAACTCCGGTTGTGCCCCAAACATGCTCGATTCCATTTTCCTTCATGTGCTCTGAAAACAAGTTGGCCGTGAAAGCGATGCCTGTATCCGTAACTACCCGCACTGGGTTGCCAAAAATTTCGGATTAAATCGTCAGCGTTTCCTCGCAGCTTGTCGTCTTTGTTGGGAAGAGCCATATAAACTTTGTAAATGAATCCATCATCGCAAATATTCACTTATAATGTTTTCTCCATCCATTGGCATCCATTGGGCCAAGATGATCAACGTTGTGACGAAGTCACAAGTCCCTACAAATGTAAATATTACGACAGAGGCGAGAGAGGAGCAGAGGATGAGTGCAACGCTGCCCGCCAATTTCTGGGCAGAACTAGGTCACTAGGGCTCTGCCCGAAATTGGCAAAGAACAATTACCTGGAGTCAGCAAGCGCGATCAAAACGTATATTTTTCGCCGGGGAAGAAAAGTTCCCAGCAGGACACGTGGTCACCCCGACATATATATCATGGCCGTCGGACACTTGTCCAGGCCCATCACAGCGACGCAGGATCTTCAAGGCGCCGCGAACGGCACGGATTACGACGGACGAACGCCGCCGACGGGTGAGATGGCCAAGGGCCAAGTCGGAGTACGACTCTGGAGTGTGGCGTAGGGTTTAGTTACGGCCAAAATTCATACACCCGTAGCTAGTTATAATGATATAAAGAATACAATAAAATGTCAACTCGAAGTCTTCGTTCTCCCTTGAACACGCACAAACCCGCATTTGCCACCTTCCACTGACATTTTCCTGCCTCTAGATAAAAAATATAAAATATGCGTCTATGCCCTGGCCGTTTCTTAAAATTATAAATATTCCTGGAGGGGAACTCTGAGCCGCTGAGGCTTACCCCGGCCCTAGAAACATCCTTACAAGGTGCAGCGTATGAAGGGGTTGATCACCTTTATCAATACAGCTTTAAAATCCTTATTTCTTGCCAAGTTTCTTGTTAAAAATTATGCATCTCACACAGTTGTTCACCACCTACTAAACCTTCTGTTTTAAGTGAAAAATCCAATACGAATGTTGAACAGCGTGAACAGTTTTCTGTAGTGCCAAATGACCTGCACTGTGGGCGTCAACAATAACTTTTTTTTCCATCGTTTTCGGGATCACGAGGAGGTCATTGCCATTCACCTCCTTATAAACAAGACCAGCATCCATCTTCTAGCCCTCATATAGACGGCTGGCCAGAATTTCGGAGCAGTCCGTGACCAACTTAAATAGGGATCCCAGCAGATAATGTCTGAATTTCATTACCGCTTTTTACCGGCTTTTGCTTCTAAGATATTACTGTGCTGACGGGACTCAGCTTTTGATGTCTTTGTGCTCCAATATTGTATTGGATGGAGTCTGCCATCAAACTACTGCCTTAAGACCGCAAATCCATCTTTTGATGCAACCGTGTGTTACTCAGTTTTTTAAAACGGGTACTTTTGCCAATGCATCTGGAATTTCTAATTAGTTTATTAGAATAAACAAAAACCGAGAACTTGGTGGCAAGAAATTATTTTTAATATTTGGCAAACGACGAAAACGAGAGGCGATGAGGTGGGTTCGGTTTCAATTCAATTTCGATTATAATTTAACTTCAAACAATTCTATGCTTAGAGCCTAGCTTAAGGAAAGGGGGGCGAAGACGGGGCGAATTCGAAAAGAGCGAGAGAGAGCTTTATTATGCTCCCGCCTTCGCCCTTACACTCTACTACAAACTCCAAAATCAGTCCCAACTGAGCCAACACCGGCCCCGTTGAACGCCTTCACGGCTTCAAGACACTGGCAGCGGCGCCAGCTTGTAAATGGCTCTCCGGAACACTGCTCCATCGCTCCTCCTAAGGTCGACGACCCTGACCATACCGTACTCTCCTGCGTGCGTCGCGACGATCCTTCCCAGGAGCCACTGTTGAGGTGGGAGGTTGTCCTCTGCCACGATCACCAGATGTCTCTCCTCGACGTTGTTCTGCTGTTGGTGCCACTTGCCGCGGATTTGGAGGCCCAGGACGAGTTCATGAGGGCCTCGATCCCGACGAGGACTGTCTCCAGCTCTTCCGCGTTTAGGAGCGCGCTGCCCACCGCTCGTAGGAGTAGGTTCTTGGCGGTTTTGACACCTGCCTCCCATAGTCCCCCCATGTGCGGAGCCCGAGGGGGTGTGAACGCAAATGCCTGCTCCTTGATCCGTTCGCGAAGAGCCTTGAAGTGGCGACTCGCTCCGACGAAGTTCGTCGCGTTGTCGCAATGAATTGTCTGTCTGAACCTTTGAAGAGCCAATAAAAAGGAGTCAGTACTAAGGTCTGAGAAAATCTCTAAGTGAACCGCCGAACAAATAAGGCGACGTAGGACTTATAAGGTGGCTTTCCTCTAATCTTTAATGTCGTATAGACAGGGCCACAAAAATCGACGCCACATATAGCAAATGGGCGGAGAGCACGGAGCCTATCTGCGGGCAAATTTCCCATAATTTGTGTCATCAGTCGGGGCTTGCATTTGAAGCAGCGCACACATGACCGAACTGTCTGACTGCAGAGTTCCTGAGCATTTACAGTCCATATACGCTGTCGTAGGATGCTCACAAGTGCTCGAGGGCCAACATGAAAGTTTCAGTGGTGCAGATGCTGGACGTAGCTCCGCACAAATTGGGAGCGTTTCGTCATCAGCAAGGAAACTTGGCATCGTAGCATATAGGAGCATTAGCTAGTCGCCCCCCCACTCGCAACAACGAAAAATTACACCAGGTGCCCGTATCCTCATGAATGAATGGGTTCAATCGTTGAAGACTTGTGCCAACCTTGGAGCCTTTACGAATTTTTCCTATTTCGATTTGATACTCGTGTTTTTGGATTATTTCGACAATTTAATCAAAAGCTTCATTATATTCAGAGTCTTTTCGAAAACTATACTCTTGTCTTTGCATTTTCTTATAAAGCGGAAAATATAAGCGAACACTCTAAGCAGCTTGAGGTATGACGAAAATCCCCCGATGACTTCTGACAAATCGGAAGTTTGCACCGCAGCGGTCAGTCCGACCGCAGTTTTCCTTGCTTCCTGAAGCAAGACTTCCTCATCCAGTTCGAAATGCGCATTTTTGGGCCAGTTCTCCTCTTCGTCCTTCAGAAACGTCACAACCTCTCGAAACTATATCTGCTGGGTTCTGCTTTGTTGGTACATGCCGCCATGTAGCTTCTCCTGACCATTCTTGAATCTCCGCTACCCTGTTCGAAACGAATGTCAACAACGAAGATGGATGAGATCGAATCCAGTGAAGAGTAACTTCAGAATCCGACCAGTACACAATTCGTTTCGATAGGGACTTTTAATAAGGGTTTAATTCTATGGCAGAGATCTGCGAGAAGGTGAGCGACACATAACTCAAGCCTAGGGAGCGTTTTGGTCTTGAGCGGCGCTACTTTAGACTTTGAAGTCAACAACGATAATTTAAAAACCTTCGGCAGTTTTGCTACGAATATAGACACTAGCTCCATAAGCTCTCATGGATGCGTCAGCAAAGGCATGTAACTGTACCGGTGACATCGGGTCCGTATGCACGAACCGGGGAATAGATAGGTATATCATCAATTTGAGACAGGGTGCTTTTTAGCACATTCCTTGCTGTTTCCAAATGCAACGGAATCGACTCATCCCAATCTAGCTTATTAAGCCAAAAGTTCCTGCAATAGGATCTTTCCTTTAATTACAATGGGACTTAATAAGCCAAGGGGGTCAAACAGCTTCAATGTCACTGATAGTATGTTCCGTTTTGTCGCTCGGAGACCCATGACAGAAGTGTCAATTTTAAACTTGAAGACATCTTCACTAGGCCACCACGAGATTCCTAATGCCTTATATAATCTCAAGGATTCAGAGGGGTCTCTTCTCCACACTATGAGTTGAAACTGC